CAGAAGCCTATGGGAGCAGGCTGATTGTCTAGGTGGAGTCTTGTAATAGATTTTTCTCTGTGTTTTTAGTGTGAGGAGAAGCCATTGAAAGATTGTAAGCAGGGAAGGGGCATGATTGGGTTTGCTTTCTTTGAAGGATCATTCTGATGTCTGTATGAAGAATGGATTGGATGAGAACAAGAATAAACAGGGCAGGGAATACCAGTTAGGAGGCTGTTACCATGGTGCAGAGAGATGATGGCTCAGCAGGTTGGAGTGGAAAGGGAAAGTGAGACAATTCAAGAGATAAACATTAGGAGCTGGAACAGATGGGATTTGTTGGGTTAGGTGAGGGTTTTGAGGGAGATAAGGTATCAAAGATGACTCCAGGTTTCTGGCTGGGGTGATGGGATAGAATATGAACCAGAATTCAGCAACAATAATTTGGTAAATTTTCCCATTTGGCCATCTTTGTGCCAGGTACTGTACTGGGCACTGGGCTGAAGGCAGGAAGATAGTTCCTGCCTTCAGAGAACACAGAGTCTAATGGGGGAAACTGACATGTTGCTGGGATATCTGTGAGTGTGGAGAAAAAGATTATAAAATAGAGCTACAAGGGAGATACAGACAATAGCTATTTGGAGAGAGGTCTACAGGCAGACTTTGTGAGGTGCTGGGGTCTGAGCTGAGCCTTCAAGGATGGGCAGGGCTTCAGTATGGAACAGTGAGTAGGATAAGGCAGTCCAGGAAGCAGAAAAAAAGATGTGGTAAAACAGCATGTGGGACAGCTAAGGGAAGGAAAAGGAGAGTGATGTCATAGAGCTGGCCACCAACTTCCTTTCCTTCCCCTAGGGCTGCCCTGAGAGTCTAGTGAGATGAGGTAATGAGTATGTGAGCATTTTGTAAACTGTTATCATAGTAATAGACTAATTTGTGAGGTATTTCAATGCTCTTAAGCACTCTAAAAATATCAAGAATTACTATTTCAGATCCCTGCCTAACAAGTTCCTCTGAACCTCTGTTACAGTAATAGTCTGACATTTGTATTGTATCACAGTTTACAGGTGAGGAAACTGAGGGCTGTTGTGGTTGTCATTGTGGTCATCATTGTCCAAGATCTCACCGGCAATAAGCAGCACAAGATAAGCCAGCAAATTATCCTAGTTTCTGAGAGGGCAATGCATTCAGGGAATGCAGGCTGGAAGGTAGAAGGGTCCTGTATCATATGCTGTCTTGAGATTTGCCCAGGGCACCAGGTTTCTTTGTGCAGGTTGGGCCATGCCCAAGGAGAGTTGGTCTGTGTTTTTTTGGGGGCTGGATCGAACCTGCCTCTGCTTACCCACCATGGGCTGGCTTCTACCTTATGGAGGGGGCCTGTCTCATTCATACAGATGGCACTGTGAGGGCTCCTGTTGCCTTCTGCGGCCTACTGCAGATAGTGGAGTACTTTACAGGTGGAGAAGCTGGGCCAGCCTAAACCACTGTCATCAAGTCGGTTCCAACTCATAGCGATCCTACAGGACAGAGTAGAACTGCCCCATAGGGTTTCCAAGGCTGTAAATCTTTATGTAAGCGGACTGCCTCATCTCTCTCCCATGGAGTCACTGATAGGTTCAAACCACCAACCTTTTGGTTAGCAGCCAAATGTTTGAACCACTGTGCCACCAGAGCTCCTGAGAACCTGGGCAAGGAACTATAAAACCAAGTGATGGTTGTTGTTTGTTGTTATTCGGCGCCATGGAGTCGAATCCAACTCATAGTGACCCTATATGACAGGGTAGAACTGCCCCATAGGGTTTCCTAGACTGTAATCTTTACGGAAGGAGATCACCAGGTCTCTTCTCCCCTAGAGCAGTAATTTTACTTCTACCAAACCGTGCATCTTTTGATTAGCAGCCAGGTACTTAAACATTGAGCCACCGGAGCTGCTTAAGTGATGATTAGTAAGTTTTAGTGCCCTTGAGAGCAGTTCTGTATATAGAAGAACCTGGGGCTGCTTTCATTTTAAAAATGAATGCTTAGTTTATAAAAGTAACAAAATCAAAACTCTAGTAAAATTTAATAATCCTTTTTAAGGGTGTTTTTTTTTTTTATAACCTACTTAATTCCCCAAAGTAATTTAAATTATAAGTAATCTAAATTAGCTTCAAAACCTGGTAACTATTGGGTTGTCATAAAAGTTCCAGCATTGCTAATGAAAATTTGTAAAACTGTCTTATGTCTTTCAACTTAAAATCATGTCTCAATTATTCTATTATATAGTTTATATCAAAATCACAAAGCTAATCTAGTATACACATAATAAATGTCTGTCTAATATGTCAAATGATCTTAAATCTTACAAATATGTGGGACAAATCTACACATATTTTTTCTAAACTAAATGCCAAAAAAAAAAAGGTAATTATTTGGGATTTGGTTTAATTCATCATCTCAATTCTAACCTTTTCCATTATTAAAGACACTTAATCTACTTACAAAACAAGTTTACCAACCAAAGTAATACAGAGCTATGTACCCAAGCAAATTTGGGATTACCTCACAGCTGGCTTATCAGACAGAAATTTGGGGTGTGACATGGGAGCCAATCCTGCAAACATCCAAGGAAATGTATCTTGTGATGTCAGCTTCCAGGGTAACCCTCTTTATAACCTCCATGCTAATAGGGAACTCCGAGTCCATGTCCTGCCAATGAGGTGGGTTTTGCAACCCAAGCCACCTGAAATCCAGTTAAACCTTGGTCAACTCCTTTTGTCCCCTCTCTCAGCTTCCGCACTCCTTCAAGATGACTCCACCCAGGTTGCTTCACTACCTGGTGGTTGTTGTTGTTGTTGTTGTTGTTGTTGTTGTTGTTAAGTGCCGTCAAGTCGGACCTGACTCATAGTGACCCCTCCTTGGGTTTCCGAGGCAATATCACTACGGAAGTAGGATTGCCCAACCTTCCTTCCGAGGAGTGGCTGGTGGGTTTGAACTGCCAGCCTTCTGGTTAGCAGTCAAGTGCCTTAGTCAGTACGCCAACAGAGCTCCCTCACTACCTGGCAGGATTCATCTAATCACTTTTCTATTTGAGTCTATTCTGAAGTAAGTAATTTTTCCTCTCCAGCCAACCCCCAACTATTGGAGGTATTTTAATGCCATCCTTGGATTCTGTGGTGTACTTCTCATGGGCTTGCCTGGCTGTCTTCACACACACTGAGGTCATGCTGAAGGCAGCCAGCCAGGTCAGTCTGTCCAGAGCAGGCTGCCCCCTCTTTCCACTGTGCTGTTCAGAGGCATCAAGAGGGACTGGGCAGATAGGCTGCCTGTGCCTGTGGATTCTGCTGGGAGATGTCAGCCCTGTAGTAGCTCAAGGCTAAAGACATCAGAAGCTTTGTGGATCTGGAGGACACATCAGAATAAAAATAGTCCCAATATGCATAATCTTACTTCTAAGTAAATAGGAAAATAATCATAATCCTACCTAATACCATGGCACAAAGCACTGTACATACATGTTCTCTAGTCATCATAACTGAGTAAATATCATCATACCCAATGAATGGATGATAAACTTGAGCCCCAGAGAGATGAAACTATAATGAGCTAAGAAAGTGTTACCAAGTAAAGGTTTTATTGAACTATACTTAGTAAATAAATAAGACATATCCCTAAAAGCTGATAGGAATTGTTAAAATGCTAAAGTGGTTTTAAGCTTAAAGACTTGGTTGGCCACAAAGTCTAAAGAAATTATAATAGCAAGCCTGTATTGAGAACTCACGACATGGCAGGCAATATTGCGAAAGAGCACAGGCTCTAGTCCCAGAAGGCCCCCTTACTTTCCACATCACTTGTCCTCTCTGGACCTCAGTTTCTTCATCTGACACACAGGGATAATCAGATCCTCCCTGGGTGTTTCACAAGGTTGCTGTGTCTCTGTAATGAGATATGGAAAGAAGTGATTTGGAAAGTAGAATGTGCTGTATGTAGGTGGACAGGGGCTTGTGACACTGACTGAGTACTGCTGCTTGACCAGCAACCCTCAGCCCAGCCTGCATGGAAGGAGCACACGCTCTAAACAGAGGGCTCCAGACTGCCCTGGCCAAGCATGATGCCACATGTTGTCCACGATGTGGGTGGGCTAGGGGTGAGTATCCACAGGGAAGCAGCTGTAGCAGCCCATGAGGATTCTGTTGAGAGGCTTGGACTCAAAGTTGGAGTAAGTGAAGAGAAGGGCCCAAAGAAAGTAGAGGGAGGACAAAGCTGGAAATGGGGGTTGACTGAGGGGACCAGGGCTTCTTCACTGTAAGTCCCAGCCAGTGGCCTACCAGAGTCAAGTGGGAGGCAGCGGACATGGTCCATCCTGGGTATAGGCAATAGTGGGGTGCGTTTTCTGTAGAGAATCTAAAAGCAATAATAAAACCAGTTAAAAGCTGATCTGCTTTTTATTATTACCCTGTGCCAGCAATTCTAACCAATGTCAGATAAAATATACCTCTCCCTGCAGGGTGTGCATAGAGGGGGGACATTTCCACTGCCCTGCTTCTTGAACGCCATGGACCCTATGCCCCCCCTCCCTACAGTTAGGCCTTAAAGGGGTCAGGGGAAGGGAAGGAAACTTGGAAGGCCCTGAGAACAAGGAAAGAGCCTGTAGGGTCATCTGAGTGGATGGCTAAAGTAGCGTTCCCCAGGTGGATCCAGCTATCCTGGAGGAAGGAGGGGCAGGGTTATGTGGGCTGCTGGGATGCCCACTGGAGGACTCTTTGAGTCCTGCTATAGTACTGCCGTCGTCACCAGGGCCCTGCCCTCTGTGCCACGTGCAGGTTATAATCAATTGGCAAGCACAATGAATGATTCCTGCCCCTCCCTCACCCCACACCCATGGTCTGTACCACACATGGAAATCAGTTTCTCCCCCTGGCTTTCCAACAAGAGCTACCCTGCCCAGGCTCCACTGGGCCAAGACTAATGAGGCAATCTGTGCTCCGCCCCATCCCTAGCCTGAGCTCTGGCTCTCACAGTGACCACCTCACTCTCTTTTGCAGGAACGTGGATCAACCCACCAGTGATTTACATAAGAACCAAGGTCCTGCAGCCACAGAACCAGACAAGGATCAAGGACTCATAGTCCTGGGGCCTCTGGAAAGGCAAGATCCTGTGCTCCCAGAGCCTACAAAAGGCCAAGGTCCTGTGCTCGCAGAGCCTACAAAAGGTCAAGGTCCTGTGCTCCCAGAGTCTACAAAAGAACACGGTCCTGTGCTCCCAGAGTCTACAAAAGAACACGGTCCTGTGCTCCCAGAGTCTACAAAAGGTCAAGGTCCTGTGCTCCCAGAGCCTACAAAAGAACACAGTCCTGTGCTCCCAGAGTCTACAAAAGGTCAAGGTTCTGTGCTGCCAGAACCTATGAAAGATCAAGGTCCTGTGGTCCCAGGGCCTCTAAAGGAACAAGGTCCCATGGTCCCAGAACCTCCGAAGGATCAAGGTCCTATGGTCCCAGGGCCTCCGAAGGATCAAAGTCCTGTGGTCCCAATACCAGTCAAGGATCAAGATCATGTGGTCGCTGAGCCTTTAAAAAATGAAGGTCCCATGATCACAGTACCAGTCAAGGATCACAGTCCCATGGTCCCAATGCCTATAAAGAATGAAAGTCCAGTGGTCCCAGAAATAGTCAAGAATCAAGATTCCATGGCACCAGAGCCTGTGAAGGATCAAGGCCCCGTGGTGCCTGAGTCTGTGAAGAATCAGAGCCCCCTGGCCCCAATAACTGTCAAGGATCAAGGTCCCATGGTCCCAGAGGATCTGAAGGATCAAAGTCCTGTGGTCACAGCACCTGTAAAGACTCAAGGTCTTATAGTCTCTGAGCCTGTAAAGAATCAAGATTTAGTGGCCCCAGAGCATCTGAAGGACCCTGATTCTGTATTTGTAGCACCTGTAAAGAATCAAGGTCCTGTAGGCCCTGACTTTGTGAAGAATCAAGGTCCCATGGTCCCAGCCCTAATCAAGGATCAAGGTCCCATGGTCCCAAAGCCTCCAAAGAATCAAGGTCCTGTGATCCCTGGGCCTATGAAGAATGAAGTTCCTCTAATCCCAGTGCCTCTGAAAGATCAAGATCCTCTGGTACAAGCACCAGCAAAGGACCAAGGTCCTGTGGTCCCTGAACCTCTGAAGACTCAAGGTCCCAGGGGCCTACAGCTGCCTACTGTCTCACCTCCACCCCCAGTCATGATCCCAACTGCCCCCCATTCGGAATATTTTGAGGGTTCCCCTTGATACCCATCCCCTGACATGCCAATGAAGGAACTAGCAATGAATGTGCTCCCCTTCCAGGGGAAATGAAGATACATATTTAATCTGCATGAAACACGTACTGTATAGTCTTGCTGGAATCTAATAAAACTTGGTCACTGGCTCAACAGTGTCTCTCTCTGGTTTGTGTGTGTGTGTGTGTGTGTGTGTGTGTTGTGTAGGGCTCTGTATTTGCCCAACTGGGCCAGAAGAGTGAGAAATTTGCAGCTCCTGTGAGCTGTCAGTATGAGATAGGAGTGGCAGAAGATGCTAGGAGATTGAAGAAATATCCCATCATCCAGGTGTGGGGCAGAACAAGGCAGGGTCAGGTCACATGAAGGCCTAGCAAGAGATGCCAACCCAGTGGTTTACAGTCGAAGCCTGCTGAGGAAACAAGAGCAGGGATCCAATTCGCCCAGGGTAATTCCGAGTGACAGTTATTTGCTAAGGGCTAAGTCTTAAAGTTCATTCAGAAGCAAAACTTCTTGAGAAAACCAGGCCTCTTGTCATAAGTCCCTGGACACTTATGCATGCAGAACCTAACATCTGCTGATCCTCATTCCATATCCAGGACAGCTCAGCCTGGGACTTCTAAAAAAATGCCTAAAGTTCTCCATTCATTCATGCAGCAGACTATGCCTTAGCACTGATTTTGTGCCAGACTCAGTGCTAAAGCCTTAATGCAATGTACCGCCATGGAGTCGGATCCGACTCATAGCAACCCTTCCTTGGGTTTCCGAGGCAGTATCACTATGGAAGTAGATTGTCCAACCTTCCTTCCAAGGAGTAGCTGTTGGGTTTGAACTGCCAGCCTTCTGGTTAGCAGTCAAATAAATGCCTTAGGCACTACGCCACCAGAGCTCCCGGTAAAGCCTTATGACACAGTATAATGTAATGTGGGATGAGGACCTAGAACAAGGAAAGAGGGAACATCTGGTAAAGGCAATCAGGAAGGCTTCCTGAAGAAAGGCAGTGAAGTTTCGACAGGGTGCTGAACAACCCACGCGGGTGGAAAGGGGCAACATGGATGTGGCTAGAGGGGCAGGGTAAATCATCTCCCTATGGAAGTCATTGAATGAAAGGAACCTGGTTTGCATGAGGATTTGACCAAGGGTGTAGCAGGTCTTTAGGACAGGAAACTGGGACCAGGTAGGGGTGACCAATTTTCTGAATTCTCAGTGAGGGAGGAGGCTGTAGCCAGGGGATCCACTGTGTGGTCTGTGAGTGTGGAGTTGGCAGGCTTAGGGAGACTCACAGCCAGGCCATGGGAAGAAAACTGAGAAGCTACCAGCAGGGCTGAAGCTCAGGTTAGGAATGGGTTGTGCTAGGATCCCATCGGTGTGGACCACCAGGCCATGTGACAACCCTAGATGCCTGTCTATTGTTTGGCTGGAAGCCACGGGAGTGAGTTCAATTCTGGGCTTGAAGAGTTTCTAGGGGCCATGGTCTTAGGGGACAGCCTCCCTTTGTAAATCCATGCCCAAGGCCCTCAGGGAGCCAGGGACAGGCTCTACTTATTGCCTCCCTCAAGCTGGGTGCCAAGGAACACTCTTCTTTATAAAAGCTGGGCCCCATTGTGGACACTAACTCCTTTTTGAGGTCCCTTTTAAAGGGGATACTGTGTGGTTTAAAATCAGGAAAGGTGTACATCAGAGTTGGAGCCTTTCACTGTACTTACTCAATCTGTATGCAAATAATACGAAAAGTTGGACTACATGAAGAAGAATGTGGCATCAGATTTGGAGGAAGACTCATTAACAACCTGCAGTATGCAGACGCCACAACTGCAATGTTGCTTGCTGAAAGCAAAAAGGACTTGAAGCACTTACTGATGAACATCAAAGACTGTAGCCTTCGGTATGGATTACACCTCAACACAAAACAGAAATCCTCACAACTAGACCAAGAAACAACATCATGATAAATGGAGAAAATATTGAAATTGACAGGATTTCATTTTACTTGGATCCACAATCAATGCCCATGGAAGAAGCAGTCAAGAAATCAAATGATGTATTGCATTGGGCAGATCTGCTGCAAAAGATTAATGCTCTTTAAAGTGTTAAAAAGCAAAGATGTCACTTTGAGGACTTAAGGTACCCCTGATCCACGCCAAGGTACTTTCAGTTGCCTCATATGGAAATGAAAGCTGGACAATGAATAAGGAAGACCGAAAAAAGAATTGATGCCTTTGAATTATGGTGTTGGCAAAGAATATTAAATATACCACAGACTGCCAGAAGAACGAACAAATCTGTCTTGGAAGAAGTGTTGCTGGAATACTCCTTAGAAGCAAGGATGGCAAAACTTCATTGCATGTGCCTTGGACATGTTATCAGGAGGCACTGGTTCCTGGAGAAGGTGTCATGCTTGGTAGAGGATCAGTGAAAAAGTGGAAGACCTCAACAAGATGGACTGACACCGAGAATGCAACGATGGGCTCAAACATTGCAATGGTTATAAAGATGGTGAGGGATCCGACAGAAGCCCTTCAGAGTTTGCTGCCATGTGAATTCTAATAGGTCAGTGACCTGCCGACAAAAAAAAAAAAAAACCATCTTGAGGCTAAAGAAGAGTGTGTGGATGCTTCTCTCTTTTCAGTTTGCCCTCTGATCTGTACTTGGTCGCTTGACACACACCTTCCCAAGGGCCAGGTGTGCAGTGGCAACATCTGCGATGTGGATCAAGCTTTAATGTGGGTCTTGGAGACATCCTGAGACATCCAGGAGGCCTTTGGTTACTAGGGCTCTGAGAGGGCAGGCTGCCTTGGGGAGAGGGGGGCTTTAAATGAAAGAGAGCTTGAGGGAGGATGTTCACTGAAGCCCCGCTTACGAAATTTAACTCCCCCAAGGCCAAGTGTATAAAATAGAAAGAGAAGTGGGTCCAATTCAAAACTCTGGAGACTTTTAAGAGGTGGAAGGAGAACAAAGTAAGCTGAGGACTCGCCCAGCCTACAAGGAGAACCCAGACGCCTATGGTGCCAGGAGTGATTCAAGTAAGGGGTGAAACTGAGATAGTGGAGAGGAGGACCGAGGAATGGGGGCTAGATTTGGCAGTTTCCACTGGGAGCCAGGAACACCTGAACTCCCAGCAGCGACAGCCACCTCAAATCCCTCGTTTGTAAAATGGTCTACATACACTGTAGGAGATCCCGAGGCCGAAAACCTCCAAATCCGGGGTGGAGCTGCAAGGTCTGAACCTGCAGCTACAGGCCACCCCTGCCCAACGCCATCAAGTCCCGTGCTCCACCGCACAGAAAGAAAACCCAGTGTGGGAAGGCGATCACTTCAGAGTCTGCGCCTGGGCTGGCTTCCCGGAAAGCGGAAAATGAACTAGTCTCCCCTGGGCCTTCTCAGACACAGACTACATTCACGGCCTCTGCCTTCCCTCTAGCAGCCATTTTCCAGCCCCACCCCCATCATCTTTCATCTCTACCCTTGGGCCAGGGCTGGTGGGCGGACGACATCGTAGCGGATCCAGAGAAACGACCGCGGCCGCTCCCGGCTCCTCCGCCGCCACAGAAGTAACCAGCCTTGGGAGGAGAACGGATCGCTCCAGGAACCTACGTGGAAATGGCGCCCCTTGCTGGACCCGAGAAGGGCGATCTTGGGAGGAGCCGCGGACGCGCTGAGGCGGCCAGGCCCAGGTGGGGAAGGGGTCTCTGGAAGGAGTGACTCGACCCAGGGCAAATACGACAGGGTGGAATTGCACGCCCCCACGTCCACTCAGGTCGATGGGCGTGGGAGTCCCCAAGCTAGAATTCGTCCCGAAAAGGCCCAAATTCGGTATGGGGGGCTCTTGGCGTCTTAGCTTACCGAGCCCCCGAACCTCGCTCTCGGCTCAGAATCGTACAGCCCAGGGCCCCAGCCCCAGCCCTAGTATCCGATCATTTGCACATCCCCACGCCCGCGGGCTCACCACCTTCCCAGGCGCCCCGGACCGGGGTTACAAGTGTAGTTTCCCTGGGCCTGAGCTTCCGGCCCCAACAAGCAGGACCTTGGGGCACCGGTAGGGCCAGTCGGAAGACGGGACGTCGGCGAGGACCTAGAAGGAACCCAGCACCGACCACACCTACCAGCCCAGGAGAGGGGCTTGGCACCACCTGAGGGCAGAACTTAGCGACTTTTCTGGGAGTTGGGTCGAGGCCTCGTTGGAACCCCTAGTGGCTGATCGGGGAAAGGCCACGATTTTTTCTGTCAAGCAATTTTTTTTGTTCCCTCCCGTAACACTTGACTCCAGTGCCTCCCCGCCTCAGCACCATGTGACATTTGGGGGGAGCAGAGAGACGATCCATGAAGACAGATGGGTGAGAACAGGAGTTGGGTCAAACTGGAGCGATACCTGCAGGAGTCTTTGTCATGGGGTGAATGGATCATGTAGAGGAGGAGCTCATTCCCTTTGATACAGTTCTCAGGCAGAAACCTGGAAATTTTGCACCAATCTCCCACCCTTCACTTCCACGCACCCACACTTTCCACGCTACCTGCTGTTGTTGTTAGGTGCCGTTGAGTCGTCTACGACTCATAGCAACCCCATGCACAGCAGAACCAAACACTGCCGATCCCGCACCAGCTCCATGATCCCTGCTATACTTGGGCCCATCATCACAGCCACCGTGTCAATCCATCTCCTTGAAAGCCTCCTCTTTCATGGACCCTCCACCTTACCAAGCATGACATCTTTCTCCAGGGAATGGTCCCTTCTGACAACATGACCAAAACAGGTGAGACGAAGTCTGGCCATTCTCGCTTCCAAGGAGCACTTTGGGTGCACTTCCTCCAGGACAGATCTGTTAGTTCTTTTAGCAGTCCATGGTACTTTCAGCATTCTTCGCCAGCACCACAACTCAAAAGCATCAACTCTTCTTTGATCTTCCTTATTCATTGTCCACCTCTCACGTGCATACGAAGCGATTGGAAATATCATGGCTTCTGGCAGGAGCACCTTAGTCCCCAAGGAAACATCCTTGCTTCTCAGCACTTGAA